GGGAGGGGGGGGGGGGTAGCGTCCACCCGTGTATGAGTTACAACCCCACCACCGATAAGTAACTTGGAATCTTATAACATTCACCCCTTTGTGTACATATCATCGCGCAAGTGACCATTTATCACCTGGTTCTCTGGACTACCAAAGCATCTATTCCCCAGAAACCACGACTCTACCAACAAGACACGGCCGGGCACTTCCGCCGTGGCAAATTTAGTCGAGCTTAAACTCTCGCGGCATGACAATTTTTCGGTGTTGTGTACAATGTATCGGCTATCGGTCGACTCTTACCTTAGCGCCCGCCGGCCCGTGTCGTCCCGCAGCCTCCACGCGCGCTCTCTCCAAGCCAGGTTCTATGGTACAACAGCCGCACCGGAAAGGACGGGGGCATGCGGACAGGAGAAGGTACTGTAAGCTTGCATGGGGACCGGCAGCGACTAGCCCAGGACTTTTTTTTTTTATTCGGATAGACGTCGACGTGAACGCGAAGGCGTATTCAAAACAAGGAAAACAACAACAACGACAGACAGACAGACAGTGGGTTAAGACACCCAGCTACTGTTAAGTAAGCAGGCGCACAATGGCCGGCCTTGAAAATACATTTATCGATACGACCAAGCGTACTATTGGGTAGGTGAGAATGAAGCGTGGCCGTACAGCACCAAATACCGGTCCTCCGGGAATTCACACTTGTTTGCTGTCGCCCGGGACTGCTTTGCGAAACGATAGATTCAAGGTCGACTAAAGGTATAGGACTCGTTCTCAGCAGGGTCAGGCTACAACTTCGACTTGTGTTCACGCCCACCTCACCTCTTTGACGAAGGGCTCTAGGCCCAGTCGGGTGTGGAAGTCGCACCGCATCCTAACCTTGTCTGGAAGGTGTCAAGACCCGTCTTTCAAACGGCTTAGGTGGAGCACACCGTTCGACGGAAGCTTCCCCGAAAACGGTTCTCATGTAGATGGGTGCGTCCGCCCGCTGAGATAGTTCAGAAAAAAAACCACGTCAATTCATCGGGAGTCAGTTGCTTGAAGATTGGGAAAGAAGTTGCCAGCCAGCGGGTTCGTCAAAGGGGCGGTATTGGCGACGATTAAATACCGCGACACCAGAGAAAATGCGCGCACACGAGTGGCGAAAACCCCCCACACGAGAGAGAGAGAGAAGGGGGGGGGGGGGGGGGTTCTCGTTGATCGGTAGAACAGTCGCAAGACTATTTTTCTTTTAGCTTCTTAACACTCATCAAGATTTTCACAATCAACCCCTCCTCCCCCACTTCAACGACACGCCACTACCGGGATACCTCGAGCGCAATAATAACACGTCTTTAAGAAGCTGCAACCTCAAAAATCCAAACCTGTTGCACCCTCCCATCCACCCCGTCATCCCGAGCGTACCCTTCGATCGTCTCCTTCTCCATGAACAGCCTCAAGGGCTACCTCTACCCCAGGCACGTTCTTGAACCCCAGGTCACGCACACGAAGTCGTCTCCCTCTCTTCCTCACATCGAAACCATCATCCGCGTCTCCTCCCCCCTCGACGCCCCCCTTGCTCCCCCCGTTGCTGCCGCCACCACAGCGGTCCCGGCCACGGAGTTGGCGGCGGCGGTCGCACGCTGCGGGCAGATGAGCAGGGTGAGGCAGGGTCGACATGGTATATCCCATCAACGTTGACGTGCAGGAGAAACCACAGACTCTTAAGGACACGCTGGAGGCGAGGGGTTAGCAGCAAAAAACGGGCGAAATGATCGTTTTTTGGGGGGTTTCACCAAATGACCCGCGGTTTTCTCGGTTCCTGTGGGAGAGCTGTGCATGGCAAAGAAGCGCCAGGAGGGGGGTTAGGACTGTGCTTCGCCTGTGGACGTCCCGGCTGCCGCGACGGGTACTCGAGCAGGTGGAAGCACGTTGGACAGGGAACATATTGGGCGGAGCTGGGCGAGTGGTCTGCCATAGTAGGGGAAGAGTGGCCTCATGAGCGCGACATCTGTGGAGACCCTCTCAAGGTGGGAGAGTGCATCTGTACATGGCCCGACTGCGTCGGCGGGATGTACAAAAAGTTCAAGAGGCGCCGAGAGAAGGAAGAACACGGGTCTAGGGACAACACGGTGGTTGGGCAGCCGTCACCGATGGGCCGATACCCTTCCACGGGTTTTCATGTATTTTGTGATGAAGGGGTTGACGGAAGGGTTCCCTGCAAGAAGCACCTTGAGCAATTCTGCTCTGCTGCCTCCCCGCAAAGTGGCTCATAGTCGGTGTGCTCATCTCTCTCTCTTTGCATTATTTGGCTGATATTAGAATGCGCCCATGCGTCCATGTCATGCAATTTCAGGTTCGAGCTCTTGTGGAACACGTGGATGTAGAAGGCCGCGTGCTAGATTGCTGAGGCGCCGGACAGGACGCAGTCAGCACGGTGCTGGCAGCGCGCGGTCTTCGTGTTGCTACGAACGACTTAAGCCTCAGGTAAGCATATGTGTGTCTTGCGGCCTCTTTCGAAGCCACCTCGCGCGGGTGTGCATGCTGGCTTCCTAGACTCCGAGCCCCCCACCCTGCTGGCAGGTCTACCGTTGTCTAGAAAAAATCTCACCATGGTTGATTTATTGTCTGCATGAACGAAGCGTTTCATAGCGTTTTGTTTCTTGGCAGGGTGAACGATGTGTTTGACGATTTCAATTTATAAATTTTTATAGGGAAGTGATGTGTTCCAAAACACAGCGCTTCTGGCAAGTACCTGCAAGCAAAATCCTCAGAAACTGATTACGCTTTTAGAAATCCCAAACAATACTGTATAACTAACACAACCCCAACCCCCCGATCTTTCCCCCGAATGGGACACAAGTTCGAACAAACTACCCCCCCCTCCCCCGGCAGGAATACAACTTGAGATACTTGCGTCAAACATGAATTGTATCTCCATATGTTTGGCCTCCCTCTCACAGGTTGGTCGCCGATACCCACCTGGACGCCACGACAGATGCTCTTGCCGAGACGTACCTAGAGGACACGCGCCACCCGGACTGGGTGGTGACAAGCCCGCGTTACAAAAACGCGTTTTATGTTTTGAAACAGCCGTTGCGGGTCGGGCGCGTGGGAGTGGCATTCAAGCTGAGACTGACTTTTCTCGAACCTGTAAAAAGCAGAGGGCGTTGGCTAAAGGATAACCCTCCTGACAGGATTGTGATGCTCCCGCGCGCTACTTACCGCGGGAGGAAGTGTAGCTCTACGGAGGCGTGGTTTGTGTGGGAGGCAGTCGGGAACAGAAAGAGCACACCAAACCCGCAATTTTCTTTTCCTTGCCTGGCTAAGGTCTGTTGCACTTATGTGAGAGTTGTGAGATGCGGACCCCGTGCATTGGAGGTTACACCGTTTTTCTTTGTTTTTCTGTGTGTGCGTGCTGGTGTAGGATTTCGACGAACCGCCGGCTATGGCGTAATGTTGGGACCCCAATGATGTGTTATGAAGCAGACGACCAGCAGTTGGATGATACTGTTGGTCTTGGGCTGGTGTGTAACGGTGCAGGGTACATGTTGCAATCCGTACTCCCGCACACGTGAGGGTCATCCCAACATGTGGGCGACAGGTTGCTGTTGTTGTTGGCTTCACATTGAACTATCGTTCCGGCTCCGCTGTCACCAGCCAACTACCCAAAGAAGGGGTGCACCTTTGATAGAACTAAAAGCACGGAAAAAGAAAACGACCCAACAAAAACAACCTCCAAGCGCCATAATACAACATCACAAAAAGAGAAAAACTTCGGTCGCCAGACGAAGCTCATGTATACATATAACACACCAATCACGGAGCAAGAGAAGACACCTCTTGTGCGACGAAACAACAGGAACTTAGCAGGTCTACAATCCTGCCAGAAAAAAAAAGCCGCACATTGCTGCACCCTCTTGTGATAGCAACAGACTCGGATGTACAGCTGAGGACCATCGGTAAGCTGCGACACGGATGATAGAGCAAGACGTGCACGGAGGGTGGCGGGGGGCGGGGGGCGCGCGTGCGGGGGAGGAGGGGGGGGTGGTTGTGTTGTTGGTTTCGTGGGAGAGAGCAGGAAAGTGGAGCTATGACGCTCATCTTGTATTCTCCATCCACGTACTGCTACAACACGTACTGCTACAATATGCATGTCTCCCTGGTCGCCTTAGATGAAATGCAGGCACGACCAAGGACGACCGCGATCGAAAAGTATCACGCGCATCTACGCACATGAATTATGACTCGTCGTAATCCAAGACGTCCTGTTCTCCTTCCAGCTCGAACCCGCCGTCGTCAATACCGTCTATCGACCCGTCGTCTTCGTCGCTGCCCGCTGAACCTTCCTCCACAAAAGTCGTCGAAATTGTCTACGAAATAGGTCCAGGCGCAACACAAATTTGTCGACTTTGAGAGGACACACGTATTGTTTATGATGGACACGCAACATGATGGACGCCAGAGAGGGTTCCTCACGCGCTACAACGAAACCGCGCCATAGCAACTCGGGGGGGTCTCTCTGATCGCCGTGGGCTAGTCCGCGGCGACAACTCGATGGTCTGGTGTACTGCTGGCTGAAAACACATTTTTTGTGCTGGTTGCGCGGCGCCAGCAGCTTTGGATAGCAACACAATTCGCTTCAGTATCTTTATTATGCGCCCCTTATTTGAAGTTATGGCGTGGATAAACGACAACCTGTCTACGAAACACACATGCGGTCGCAGCAACGGAACGGGATTGGACGCATCCTTACCTTCAACAGCTGAGGTGTCCAATGCACAGACAGACGGGTTTTGTCTTGGCACCACGTTGTTTCTAGCTATCATTTCTTGTGTGGGTCGTGGGTAAACAACTGTTCCGGCGACACGAAAACCAGCCCATGTGCCTTCCCCTCACCGTTTCCTGACCCAGGCACCCGCCGGTCCTCCTCGTCGGGCAGTGGTCGGCCCGCTTTTTCGGGTGTTTCCTCCTCGTCTCCACCCCCCCCCTCGGCAGGCGCCCCCATCTCTGTGCCACCTTCCTCCAAAGGATACAGCCCTCCCTCGGATGTTTGACCCTCGCCCCCCTCTCCTGTGCAAACGCCCGGATCGCTACCCGGTGTTTCCTCCTCGTCTCCCCCCCCCGCCCCCGCAGGCGCCCCCACCCCTGTGCCACCTTCCTCCAAAGGATACAGTCCTCCCTCGGATGTTTGACCCCCGACCCCCTCTCCTGTGCAAACGCCCGGGTCGCCACCTGGTTTTTCCTCCTCATCTCCCCCCCCCCGCCCCCGCAGGCGCCCCCACCTCTCCACCAGCTTCCTCAAGAGAATCGACCACCTGCCCGGACGTGGTCTCTCCCTCCTCGGGGTTTTCCCCCCGTGCTTGCTGCATCCAGAGATAGACCGCTTCAGCTGCTCGGGCCATGAAGCATCATCAGTATCATCAGCCGACTTTTGCGCCGGTTGGATAAACCTTGCGACGAATGCCACGGCGTACCGAGCCCCCCAAAAAACTGAAGATCACGACAAACTCAGCGGCAGAGGCAGCCATATCTGGTTTGGCACACGCCCAGACCCAGGCTTGAAGACAAAGCTGTGGGGTCGGTCTTGGTAGGGCCAGAGCGCCAGCAACCAGTCCAGCCAGGAATTCATGCGGACTCCACTGCAACACCCTCACGACGACCAGCTTCCCCACCAAAAGTAAGACCTTCACCACAGCCACCACGAATGCATCCCGCGACCCGCCCGTGGCTCGTTCCCGAGCAACCGAGGCCCAAAGGATATACAGCAGCCCCAAAAGACCTGCCACCACGCACGCCTGCACCGATGTGTCGCCCAGAAGAGCTAGAGCGACACACCACCATACCAGCATCGTGACGAACCTAGCGATCGTTCCAACCGGAAATCCGGAGTACCTGCAGTTCAGCCGGTTACGTGTGAGCGCGCGCGCGATCGGCCAACATGTCAGACGTTTTCTTGCCTTAGCATGGAAGGATGCAAGTACGCCTCCCGTATCCAACCATTAACAGAACTAGAGCGGAACGCAACGAATCCCGCAATCCTGCATAACACGCGGCTTCCAGGCAGCCCTGACCAGGGCAATTTACTACAGTGCCGCGAGTGCGACCTAACACGCCGCCTGACCGATAATATTTGTTATCAAATGCGTTGTGTTGGTGTGTCATTGCTGATTCCATTGTCGTTGTTGTGTCATTGCTGACTCCGTTGTCGTTGTTGTGTGGTACAATAAATAGCAAAAACGCGCAGGACTCTGCACATTGAACAGCAGTACGCAAGTCGTACCACGAACTCTAACGCGTCAATATTACGTTCAGGAGGGCTGCACAACAACTGAAAACGTGAATTGTTAGGGTCAGGTTAGGATACTGCACAGGTGGGCGTCAACAACGGAGAAGGTAGTCATGTTACGAAAGAGTTTCAAAGTGTACGCCCGCCGTTCTCGACACAAGATACCACCCCCTCTCGACCAATCTTCCAAGCTCGAATATTCCTCCACAGATCTATTACCGTCCAAAACGGCGGCGTTCAGCCCGTTTCGTCGAGAGCTTTCCTCGAAGTATCGTTTTGTTCATACATCCTCACATACATGCGGAGTAATCGAGCTTCGGGGATCGGTCCAGGGGGTGTGGTATCTTGTGTAACCCACGGTGGATACCAGTGTTTTTTTTTCGTCTGCTGCTGGGTGCACAGCTGTACTACGCATATGTACCTTCGCCAACCGCCGTACAAAACTTGAGATTGCAAGGGCAAGACCTACACTATCATCGCCGTGGGCGGGCGGTAAGACACACAAACCTCATTTTTCCCCACATGCCAAAAAGGAACTGCAACCAAAAGCGGAGTGTCTCCAACAATTAAACGCGCTGTACGATATCGCACGGGAGTTCGCCGCTGCAAAAAGTGTACAGCAACACGGGCCTACTTACATCCACTTCGCCCTTAGGCGAGTAACAGCCGTGCCATCAACAGGCTGAGGGCGCGTAACATCATGGGTACAAAGCAAACCGCCACCGCAACTCGTGCGGCCGCGTACCACCGCCCTGTGTGTAGACCAGACAGATGTGTCTGTACACACCACACACACGACACACGCGCCGGAGCATGTTCACGCTGACACACAGACGTTCGGAACTATGCCTACTCGTTCACCACTACAGCAGTAGTATCAGTTCCGATATTCAAGCGTGGACTTTGATCGCGAAGCCCCTCGCCGAGAGGAGCAGAGGCAACCAACATGATCTCACAGACGCGGAGTGTTCCAGAGCGCTGGTTGGTGCAAGTTCAACTTACGTGTTTTCGGAAGGTCACACTTGAGATGGCCAGATATTGTGGGGGCTAGAACGCTTTCAGCCCAAACCACTGCCAATGGGTAGTCACACACCTACTCCACCGTGACCTACTCTCCTGGTTTGGGATTACCCTCGGCCTAGCTGAGCTATCCGGCTGTTCGTGACCGTGTTCACGAGTACCCTGTGGCCAAGTGTCTTAAGTTCGGTTCTGTGCTCCCCTCTCTTTTCAAGTCTCGTCCCCCCGCCATCAAAAATGCGGCAAACTTATTCGTCACAGGTCGATAATAATATATGCCAGCTGCCAGCGCCTCAGCAGAGGCAAGAACCAACCAACTGCTGTGCTGTAATTCACAAGGTTCCGGGACCGAGAGCTACCATTCTTTTGTTAGACAACAAAGGCTAGTCGTCAAAAACATCGTTGAAATGTTCACAAGTATAGTGTGAATCACATGTGTCTGCGACTGAACCTGCGGACGGGCTGGCTTGGCCGCAAGCTGACTGGTCTATTTCTTTTTATTTTTTGTGTCTCGGGCTGAAGGAAGAGGAGGCCTCTTCAACCTTCAACTGGATTATTTCTTATGGATGATACCTGCAGACCGTAGAGAGAGAGGCTCTCTACTCTCTACACTACGGCGCGCAGGTAGACTACGAGAGTAGTATGCAGGTATGCTTATACTGCTCCTCCTGTTGAATGAAGTGATGTCGCGACGGCGGTATTCACCCGAATCAGGAGTGCCAACGGCAATGGCGTCTCTCCTCCCGCGGCGCTTGCCGAACGCTTCCCGTAACCCGTCGAACGTACCCGATGGTCCATGAACCATGAGCATTTTCACATCCCGGCAAATCGCCGTCCGACCACACGGGACTGTGGGTTTAGTGTGGCGGTCCGAGTGGTTTTGAAAGATCCAAGCTTCCAAGCTGCAGCTTGGTGCTGCTGTCGATAAAAAGTTGTTCCGACGGAGTTCGAAAAAGTCAGCGGCATCGCAGCAGCAGCAGAAGGATTGCGTGCAGCACCCAGTCCGATTGAACATAGCAGTACATAGACTAGTACAGTAGTTTCAATTCGCCGTCAACGATTTGGGGTTCTTGTCGAAATCGATACTCGACAAGGACGGCCACATGGTACATTATAGGTCTATGGGGTAGTTCTGAGCCGGAGCCGGTATTCTATCACCCCGCATGAAAGAGCAAGATCTTGACAGGGCTTAAGAATTTTTGAACCAGCTGTCCCCACCGACCAGCCACCACTCCCACACCCGCTCGCTCCTCCCACGCCACAGGTCGTGACCTGAGCGTTCTATTGCAGCCCGTACACTCCCTGTGCCAGCTGCTACAGAGCCGCTTGGAACACGCAGCGCATCAGGTAGGTACTTTTGTGTACTGCTGTACAGTGGGTGTCTCCGCAATGCGTATGTCGAACCCGTATGCCGTATGAGTGAGGTGTACACACACATGTATATGTATATGCACATGTATGCCGGTTGTGGTATACAGCGAGCGGTTAGGGTTTGTTGTCCCGTTGTCCCGGGTCTCATGGCATGGTCGTCGTGCAGAGGGCCTGCGACGACAGCAGTTAGAAAAATACGACGTTCCAGCACGCACGGCTTGGTTCGCTGTGTCTTCTCTCGATCGTAAGTTCTGTTCACCCGCATTGCCTTGTACTCTCTTCTTGTCGAAAGCGATTCGCCCCACGAGGGCCGAGATGTGTCGGCAATCATCAATCAAAATCTTGTTCTGACACAAAATCACGTCAAAACAATATCTCAACCTTCCCTCCTCGGTATCACTGCCGTCTATGGAGGGCCTGCATGCATGAACAGGCATCAGCGTTGCATTGTATGGTGTGTTTTGTGTGCAGACAGACAGGCAGAATAGATTACATGGCTACTACTGCACATGGCTTCCACAACAATTCCGGCGGCTCGCAGCTTGACCAGCGGTCTGAATAGAATACGCGCCGGAGTATTTCATTCGATACGTGAACCAAAAAATAAAAGTACAGCAATACGCGACGATTTCAACCGCTGTTCTCGTCAATTGGTTCTCGTTGTCTCCGAGTTCTTGCCACCTTCCCCTGACACGAGGGCATCGGTAAAAGCGTGATATTCTCGCAGCCATGAGGCGTCAACAATTTTTATGCGAAAATGTTTTTGAGAGAGACATGTGAGAGAGAGAAATGGAACGCCTCTCTCTCTCGGCTTTTCGAATTCTCGTTTTGTGCTCTTCGGGAAATTTTTGCGATCTTCGGTTAATTGGATCTACCGTGCACGCACAGCGCACACGGAGAAGCACAAAAGCTGTTGTACGGTTGTACGGCTTCACATGCCACACTGCAATCTTATCGTCCTTGGTTACTTTTGTCTCTGTTACCGCCTTGTCCGGCAGTGCCCATGGTCGGCGTGATGGATGCTCGTTCGGCGCTCAAAGCGGCAGGACTTTTCGGCTTGTGCAACCTACTCGGACAGAGCAGCGGCGTGCTTGCCGAAAGCCATGCACCTCACCACGACCGTCGTGGCCTTCAAACCAGCTCAAACATTGTGTTCATCGAAGCCGTTGTAGGCACGGCATTCACCACTGATGAGCAGAGCGGGCTGCAGCTTCAGGTACAAACTGAGTGCCGGGTGTTGGGCTCGGAAGGTTGAGAATTTTATGCTGCGGTGATTGACTGCCTGCCGCTGCTGCTGCTGCCGTGATTACCTAGTTCCCCGCTCCCGGCGCTTCTCCACACGCGCCTCGAGGGTCTGCTGTGTCTACAGAAGGTTAGCCGAAACCAATTGTTGCTGGTACCCACTAACTACAGCAGTTGCTGTACAGCAGTAGACTGATTGTTTGTTTGCCCCATTGATGTCGACCACAGAACGCTGAGCGCGGTGTGGCCGGAGATGCGGCGACGACCATCACCACGTCTGCCACAGCGCAGGTATTTGAGACGAGTTTAGACATCTTCGAAAAATTCGTATTGGCGCGTTAGCCATATGGAGTTTGGGGACATTTGCCCACAATATACAGTGTGTGTATGATATGTAGAGTATTGCTTTATTTATACACGTGGCAGCAGTAGACGCACAGTAGCACATTAGACTAGACTAGAACCCAACCGTGATGTACAGTTGTGCTGCTGTTTTTGTGGAAGAAGACGTGTCTTGGTTTTCTGAGTCCGTCGTGTGTGTCAGCATGACCATCATGTAGTATCGTATGTGGCTCTCCTGTGTAGCCGCTACCTGAATACCGGTATCTGTGACGCTCTCTCCTCTCGCTGCTTCTGCCACTTGCGACCTACCGCGTCCCCTCTTGTTTACAGTACGAATTTTACTTCACGCCGCCGAGCATCGCAGGGGCCACGGTAAGAGCGTCGCGTGGATGCATGCTTGCCACTTTGTCACATGACACGCATCTATGGGGGAAGTAGCCCCCCACCCCCGCACGCGTGACACGTTTGTATTTAGCGGGGGGTGGCGCACATATGGGCAGGGACAACTCTGGCACTTCAGACTTTTTTCTTTGGCGTGGTACATTTGTGGTACGTATATAGCAGCAGAGGCACGACGGCGGCTACTGTACAGGCAGGGTTCCGAATTTCCTTTGGATCTCCACCCTTTCTTATGCTACATGTACGATTGTAACGTTCCAAGGGTGTGCAAAAAAAAATTACGTGATTTGTTCCGTGTAAGCTCCCAAGTGGTCGCCAGTTGCTACATACTTTCGAGTATTGTCGAACATGTTCTTGTGATGGTACCGACGTGTAATGACGGTAGGTGTACAGGTAGTACCGACTTGTAACGACGGTAGATGGACGATAACAAATTTGTCTGGCGTTCACCAACGCGTGGCCGGGGGCTAGTGAGGGGTGGTTAGGTGCATGGAGTGGGGGAAGGGAAAAAAGCCCAGGAACTCCAACATTGAGTGCGTGACGTAGTTTTGTTGTTCCCTCCCCACCTCTAACATGTGCGATGCGTTCTCTCTCGGCATGTGGAAGTACAGCAGCAGTCATCGAACACCTCAAGCCCTTCTTTGTATTGTCGACTACAAAAAAGAACTCGAGTAGTGTAGTGTAGGCATCTTCTGGGTCGATGTTGCAGCGCGTGCAACCCATTGTCGGTATCGCATGGCATGGATGGTCGTTTACCCGATACCCTTTCTTGTTCTGACAGGGTTTCACGCTGAGCTTCGTCGGGCAACTGGATGGTGCGGATTGGACTGTCGACATCTTCGATTTCAGCACCGATGTCAACACCTGGGTCACGGCGGGCACCCTAACAGGGAGTAAGTTCTGCTCGCTAATCCTACGATATTTCGCCCGTTTTGTCTTGTCCCAAGCGTTCCAATAATGGCGGCTTGTGAAGCCCAGCTTTGTCGGGCGATTGGGCACCCATGCCTGGATAATGTTTTCTCATTCCACCCTGTGTAAAACCGTGCGTGCCTTGCTTACGATTCCGTCGTGTCTACTTCACAGTGACTACTGCTGGGTGGGGGGACGTCGACATCGACTTCCCCACCACGACACCTGCCAACTTTGTCGCGGATACGTCGGTAGTACTGGTATGTGGTCAACTCGCCGAAGAAATTGGGGCAAATCTCTGGCCTACGTAGTGGTGTGTGTCGAGGAGATTGAACCTAATTGAGTCAGACTATTCGTTGCCCGGTGTCGATCACGTCGGAAGAAGTAGCGCTTCAGAAAAGCGTTCGGGTTGTACTGCACGAAAGTTCCGCGAAGAGTGCTGTCGAGATCTATGTCCGTTCGCTCATGCATTGCGCCCGCTCGGCTCTACCGGTGTTGTTCAATGCCAACCCACCATTTTCACATGTTTTCGAGTGCGCCAACGAACCACCCCTCACCCCTCCTCACCATTATGCTTGCCTGTCGTCGCCGCCGTCTGTCGTCGTGCCTTTTCCTATCCTTGTTCTTTTGTGTCTGCCACCATACGCATGCTACCTGGTGCCCGAATATCCCGCCGTGCCGCGGTGCCCACTGCCTTGACTCCAGCTGCAACTGACCGCCACTAGTACTGATGTAAGCAACCTTGGCAGAAGGGGTTGCCCAAGTATGTTTTTGTCGCTCTGGTACAACTGTTATACCCTGAGAGCGAGATGCGGCGGTGAAAACTCGCCTTCATAGGAAGCCGCCACCAGCACTGCACTAGGTAGACGTACTGCTGTGGTGTACAAGCAGGAACACTCAACTGGTGGTCCGGTTGGGTGACACATATTTCGCTTTCGTTTTCATGGAGAAGATGTCCGATGCATCTACCCTATACCCTAACCCTAGCCCTAGTCCCAGTGCCGGCGAACCGGTTCTCCTTCAAAGCGCTACTTTTGCTACACATTACATGTGCATGTATATACAGTAGTTGTCAGATTCTACTGTTTTGGCTATTGCGAGTTGTCTGCTGGTCGAACACTGAGATATATTCACACCCATTCCTGGCCAATGCACTTCTCTACTCTACTCTTTTCTACTCTCAGGTGGGGTACCTCGACTACGTTGCGGTGAACGCCGTCGGAAGCGCACCAACGCCGACGCCCACGGCCCCACCCGTAGCTGCACCCGTAGCTGCACCCGTAGCTGCACCCGTCGCCGCGCCTGTTACCCCTGCCGGGGGCGCCACCGCCGCATTCGTGGGGGTAGAGTCCGGTGCCGCCATCCTGGCCGATCAAATCGGGGGCTCACCACTCACGGTGAGAGCATCCTCGACTCGCGACTGTAGTCTACACTACACTTTGTACGGTGACTCTGAATAGGCATCCGTACACTCTGTATGTTTCATGCTGGAGAAGCTGAAGGTCCTGTAGAATATTCCGTCGCCAAGACTCGCGTCGTCAAAACGTTTCTGAACCTCGTCTACGCTGCATCGCTCGTGCAGAGTGCTGAAGAGGCGGCCACTAGTGACACGAGCGCTTCTATCGAGTTCGCGGCTACGTCCAGCGAGGCTGCCGCGGTAAGGGGCTCGACGATTCCATTGGGCCATCCTAGGGATGCTACTATATGGAGGGATGGAAGTAACACTTTTTGTCCCAATTTCGCGGATGTACTTATGCAGGGTACTTGGGCCGAGTTAGCTTTATGGTATTCTGGATGCGGGCAGATTCTCACCGCACACAGTTGATGATACAACCGAACAACCGTTAGGTTGCAAACTGCTGTAGAGAGGTATGTATACGTCAGTGGCGGCCGTCTCTAACCATCGCGGCCAGATCCAAACGCTAGGTGTCCTCGACGACTCCGGCGCGCACTAACCCATGTGTCTTCCTCAATCTTGCCGATTCTTGAGGTCTAACGGGTTGGTCGATTCTAGGCATACATGTCAACATGTCAACCTTATCCGGCCCTACGCCTGTCCTGACTGGCTCCACTCGACTGGTACGTTCTTACACTTCCCTCTATTTGCCCCTTGCATGCGAACAGTACGAGATGTACTTCCCCGCACCTGCGGCCGTCACGGGCCCGTTCACGATCACCATCACTGCACAGCTGGGCGCCGGCGCCGTCGCCAGCGACTGGAAAGTTGACATGTACTCGTTCTTGCCTGTAGACAGCGACGCCTACTTCGAGGTCGGCGATCTCACCGGTGGTAAGCCATTCAGCTACCTATTCGTGGCACGTTCCACCATGTAGCCGACGGAGGTGTACTGTAGAAAGTCGTTTCGATAGATCACCGTTTCCACCATTTCCGCAAGCTCCGTTCGCTCTTTCTCCGCGTCTGGGAAACGACGCGAAATCGTTTCAACCTGATCGGATATTTGTACATGCCCCATCCTTGTGCTGTTTCGTTTTCTTCGTCCGCAACCTTGGTGCTTTGTGTGGCAGTGACGTCTGGATCTTGGTCGACCATTACCCTTACCTTCGATCCCGCGACCCCTTCCAACTTTTTGTTGCCGAGCGCCATCGAGTACCTGGTGAGTGTACATGTACCGTAACTGTACCTATCTTCTTGTGTTCGAGCACCAGGGACTCATTAATCACGTGTTGTACGGTAGTTTTGAAATTGTCGATTGGGGTCACGTGGACGAAGGTCTGGGAGGTCTGAGTCAACTTGTTCCGCAATGAAGCACCCTGTCGGGCGTGAAAGCTACTGTACCATTTGACACTTACCTCAAGGAGAACACATGTGATGCATCAATGTTAATGTTGCTAAAGCTCCGCCTCTCTCCTAACACTTTAGTCTTACCCCGTCCTATTCCCCCTGACGCACGCAACACTTTGCTTGTGCACTGCAGGTCCAGCTGAGGACCGAGAGTGCCGGTGCCCAGGTACGTCGTCTAATGTAGCGTCCCCACTACAGTAGCGTACTAGTGTAGAGTCCACCTCTACAGTAGTACGTTCGACCTCCACTTGGTAGAGAGGCAACCGCTGGAATGAAGGTCCTTCGGAGGACCTGCCTACTCTTCGACGTAAATAGTCCTGTTTTGCGCACGTTGTCGTTGTCGTTGCTGCTGTTCCCTCTGCACTTCGGCCAGTCCATCTACGTGGACCAGATCGTCGTCTCTGACGGAGCACAAGGGCCGTCCCCTACCCCAGTGACACCTCAACCCGTTGCTGGACCGACTACGCCGCCTGTCACGGCTCCACCCGTCGCTGGGCCGACTACGCCTCCTGTGACAGCTCCGCCTGTGACAGCACCGACTGCTCCGCCTGTAGCTGCCCCCACGGACGGGGCCACCGCCGCGTTCGTGGAGGTTGTGAGTGGTGCCGCCATCCTGGCCGATCAGATCTCGGGCGGACCACTCGCGGTAAGAGCATCCTCGACAACCTGTTAATTATGTTACTCTGAAATAGGTATCCGTAGGCTGTGAGCATCTTGGGGGAGAAGACGATGACGGTGACGGTCCCGAAGAGTACATGTGTTCCATCGTCGCCAACATTTTCGTCGACCAGCTTTTTTTCGAACTCTATGCTTGATCGGCTCGTGCAGGTTGCCGACCAGGGGGCCACCAGCGACACGGACACCTCTATCGAGTTCGCGGCTACGTCCGGCGAGGCTGCGACGGTAAGGGGCCCGACGATGCCATTGTGTCACCTTAGGGAAACCATACCATGGAGGCTGGACGAACATAAGTATTTCAAGTTTGTTCTTTGTTCGCCGATCGTCATAAAGGGTGTTTGAACCGAGTTAGCCTCGTGGCGTGCTGGATCCGGACGGATTGCTCACCCGAAACACTAGTTGTTCTCGACGATTCCGGCGCGCACTGCATGCGTCTTGCTCGATTTTGCCGTCGAGGCCGAACGGGTTTGTCGATTCCAGGCATGTATCCCAACCTTTGTCCCGCCCTGTGTTTGGTGCAGGCTTGTTCTGATTCCTCCTAGTTCCCTCTATTTGCCCCTTGCATGCGAACAGTACGAGATGTACTTCCCCGCACCTACGGCCGTCACGGGCCCGTTCACGATCACCATCACGGCACAGCTTGGCGCCGGCGCCGTCGCCAGCGACTGGAAGGTCGACATGTACTCGTTCTTGCCCGTAGACAGCGACGCCTACTTCGAGGTCGGCGATCTCACCGGTGGTAAGCCATTCAGCCATCCCTCGCACGTTCGGTCATGTAGCGGACGGCGGCGTAATAAGCTTCGTTGGTACTCCGCTTGGCGATTCAATGGAATGAGGCACTGTCTTCCCAACTAGTGTGTTGTCATGCACGAAATGACCGTTTGCTCCCAACGGACGCAAGCCGGGAGATAACGTGAGATCCCTCCAAACCTGATCGGATTTATGCACATGCCCCATCCATGTGCTGCTGTTATTTTTTGTCCGCAACCTTGTTGCTTTGTGTGGCAGTGACATCTGGATCTTGGTCAACCATCAACCTGACCTTTAATCCCACGACTCCGGCGAACTTTTTGTTGCCAAGCGCCATCGAGTACCTGGTGAGCCTAACGTCGCGATTCTTCTTGTGTTCGAGCGCCTGGGAAACAAGGAGAGCTTGAAGCATTGAGTTGAAACTGTCGACTTGGGGTCATGTGGACGGAGGTCTGCGAGGTCTGAGTCAACTTGTTTGTCGATGTAGCACCCTGTCTTCGACGGGAAAGCTACTACCCTACTGTACCCTTTCATACCATACCAAGTTCAAGGGCAAAACTTTACCACAGAGATCCTACTGTTCCCTAACCGTTTTTCCTTGCCCTGTCCTATCCCCCCTGACCTACGCAACACTATGCTTGTGCACTGCAGGTCCAGCTGAGGACCGAGAGTGCTGGTGCCCAGGTACGTCGTCTAGTCTAGCGTCCCCACTACAGTAGCGCACAAGTAGAGGCAACCTCTATTTAGTACGTCCAGCCTTCGCGTGGTAAAGAGCCAAATAGAGGAGTAAAGGAAAAAGAACGGCCTTCGGAGGAGCTAACTAGCCTTGAGAACAACATTCTTATTTCGTCTTGCGCACGTTTTCGTTGTCTTTGCTGCTGTCCCCTCTGCACTTCTGTCAGTCTATCTACGTGGACCAGATCGTGGTCTCTGACGGAGCGCAAGGGCCGTCCCCTGCCCCAGTGACAGCTCAACCTGTAGCTGGACCGACCGCTCCGCCTGTGACGGCTCCGCCCGTTGCTGGACCGACCGCGCCTCCTACAGTTGCCCCTACCGTCGCTCCTACAGTTGCCCCCACGGTTGCCCCCACCGCGCCGCCGACCCCCGGTCCCGTCCAAGTGGACATGGTCCCCTGCATCTTGGCCTCGGAGTCGGTGGTGAGTGGAAAGGACAGGACAGGACACATAAATGGATTGCGGTGTGCAGTTCCTTGTGTCCATAGATAGCGGGGTATCCGGTGGTGTCGTGTCGACCATCGGCATGTGTGGCGTGATTGTCTCCCCCCATTGGCTTGCCAAGGTCCCGCCGTCACACGAGCATGGCATGGGTAGGACAAAGGTCTCTGGCCGCAGGATGAAAATGCCGGACTCGGACGCTCCATGACGGACCCAAACTGATCATCCTTCGTTGCGTTTCTCCTCCTGTCCGCAGGAGAAGGACGTGGGTCCCGTGGCTTCGGCGTACCTGTTCAACGAATTCTACAAGGGCTTCTGGACCGCCACTCAGGTAAGGAAGGCCTTCTATCGCAGCGAAGTGTAATCGCATACTTTGGAGGAGGTGGATGCAGGAGAGGGTAGCACTAGTATATAGAGCAGGTATTGGTCGGCGAAACGCCGGTAGTGGTTGCCCCCAGGCCAGTCTGACTGGCTGGACGATGACCCACGTCTCGTACCTTGCGACCAGGAAGGTACATTCATCGCGATCTAGTTGTTGGCTCGGGAGAAAACGAGCGGTTACCGAATCGCGTTGGTTGAGACTTGTCTCTTCCAGTACGTTGTTTGAGTGAAAGGCGGTAGAAACACTCCAGTGAACCATTGTGAATTTGGCATTGCTTTTCTGAGGTGCTCTCCCTCGTAGTGACCTCTGGCGCTGCGAAAAATGGTTGTTGTTGTTCCCATCCGTGGACCCCCCATCCGTGGACCCCCCAACCGACGTCGCCCCGTACCTTTACGTTGGCCTTGCCGATGCGTGCCACCGGCATCAGAACGTCCAAGCACCCCCTGCCGCCGTGCTGGACCTCGTTGAAGCTTTGGATGCGGACCACGGCAAGTGCAACGTCGTCTACGTCGGCATCGTTCCCTCTGCCGCCCAGAAGCAGCAGCTCCAAGACTACTCCCGCAAGTTCAACGTAAGCTGACGACGGTTTCGGGTGGCGTGGTAACTGCTGTGCAACCTCCAACGAAGCGGAGCACTTGGAACACAAGCACAGCGCATCGTGTTCGTATGGACACGACCTTGTCTTGTGGTAGTGGCCGCGGTATTTCATATCAAGCTTTTCGATCGTGGTGTAGGAAATTCCTTCTTTCCGTGAGCTTTTTGGATAACCTCGTGCGATGGCCGCGTGTCTCCAGGTACCTGCTAGAGTCTAGTCTACTTGCCGCGCATCTTTCCGCGCGTTCGGCATCACGTGCATCTATGTCACCTGCTGTTACTCTTTGCTCGCGCCGTCCTTCCTTTCTGACAGGTCCGCATCGTTTACTTCGACGCCGCCGACACCATCCTCGACACGGAAGTCCAAGCTAGGCTGGGCATGCAATCCAACTTCGACCAACCTTTCGTGGGCGCGCCCAGGGTCAAGCGGACAGGTTTGTGTTTGAGGGTCAAGCGACCACAGTAGTGACCTGTTGACGTGCTTTGGGGGAAGTGCATCCTTGACGTTCACAACGCATGCCCGCGGGTGCCCAACGAAGGCGCAACTCGACTTGACTTGGCGCATGTTTTCCCCGTCAATTCACCCAACCCCAACGGTTTCTTGCTGTATTGACGATACGCAGGCGGGTCGGCAGACAGCATCGCCCCCGCGGACATGCTGACTGACCCCAGCCAAAACAACCTGTTCAACAGACCGGTCGTTACCACGGTAGACACTCTCCCGGCCGGCGTCAGCATCATGGCACAGTGAGTGATGATGCACGACACCACGCCTATTGGAGTACTTGCCCGAGAACCCTTGGTTTCCCCTGGATGATAAAGCTGGGTCACGTAGAACCGCAGCGAAATATTTTTTCGTTCTTGGCAGCAGCCCTTGATCGATCAGTGAAGGGCAAACAAAAGAAACCGGCATGCATTCATTATTATGAAGAACTGATTCTATGCCGTCGAAATCGAAGAGAAACATGGCAACGTGTTGGGTTGGCCTAGATTTGGCTTCAGCGTCCGGAAAGAAAGAAAATTGCTTGCCTCTTTGTAGCATCAATCGACCACTCATGCACTACCGCCTATTTTCTGGATTTGTTTTCACGTTTGTACCGTCGTCATCATCATCATCCATCATCAGGTACGCGGACGAAAATGGTGACGTCATTGCTGGCGTGCTTGCGGGCGTCACTAACCCCGAGAGCGCTGCCATCGTCGAGTACATCGGCACCGACGGTCTGGAAGAGATGCACGTGTTCGTCAGTCTGGCTTGGTTCGACACAGGATCATGGGCGTGGGGGCACTTCATCTCCGAGTGGGGTACCCGGGGCATCTTCCAGGCAAGAGCCACACTTAGTTTGGCTTTCGACAACGGCACCACAAAAAACAATGCGGATCGGCACAAGAGGTTGTCGCGGATAGTGTTGGTACCAACGACCAGACCACGCGATTCAATGGTGTGACCGTACAACTTTGGAAAAGGCTCAGACCGACTACAACGTGTTCGCCTGTGGTAGCCGTACGACATCCTACAAGCTACAAGTGTGTACTGTAGCTTCCACCTCAACATCGTTCGTTCGCACACGTTCCGAAACAATGCCAATGGCGGGCGCTTGAGCTAACTCCGAACCTCGTCGACATCCTTCTGGAATTGTTCTCTTCTCCTATTCCCAGGGCGAGCGCCGCTTCTACCTAGGAGGTGTCGTCGATGATCTGTTCCTCTCAACAGGTGGGTGTGGTACTGCGGCCTCAAGCAAAATCGAACGAACGAGATGCATACGTTTACATAGTTCACGAACGGGTGTAGCCAAGATGCTGCCGACAATGTCAGACTTGAGGATGTTGGCTTTGTGGATACACTACTGTATCCCTTCTTTCCCTCGTAGGGAAGGGAACAAGTTTTCGACGACGGTGGGAGGGTATGCATGAACATGAGCCTTGCACACTACGGATTGTTCGGAACGGAGGGGAGGTTAGCCTGTAGATGTAGATGTCCGAGCCACTGGGGCACAGATGCAGAAGAAGCGAACCATATTGTACATATCACATGACCGTTTATCCACGTGCCACACCTTCAGGTGTCTGGATTTACGACCCTCCATCCTTCTTCGGGCCGGAGGTGAGAGAAATATACTCAGTATTGTTGTTCGATGCAGTCAAAGCAGTCGATGCAAGCGACTTTCACTGTTTGGCCTTTGGCCTTTGAGCCTTTGAGGATGCGACGATGGAAGCGTCGCGGGGTTCCCCCCGAGAGGCCGAGTACACGCATGACCACCAGGGGAAAATAAAGCGTTTCAGAAAAACATAAACATACTTGTATACATACTGGAAGTATTGGTATTTTAGTGCACTCCGTATTGCTTGCCTCCTCGAGCAGCAAGGCTGCGGTTCAAAAGGAATGCCTCGGGTACTGCATGACGAGCTTAGCGCTGATTCCGACTTACCTGCTGGATACTGATTCCTGTGTCGTGTACGCATGTGTATCCGGCTTGTTGGTGATTTTTTTCCGCCCCACGCAGGAGAGACTTTCGGGAGCCGACCTCCAGAAGTTCCAGAACTCGGAAGCGGCATTCAACACCGCGTACGGAGCGTCGGTGAAGACAGAGCACGCCTTCAACGGGCTCGGTGTCCTCGACAAGGTGACAACGACAAGGGTAGATGGTAGATAGCAAGGAGAAAGCGCTCGTTGGTGGTGGCTACTGCCGAGATGCACGTTTCGACTGTGGCGTGCGTGCTGTTGGTTGTCGGAGCGCCAGACGGGCTTGCCTTCATAACACAAACACGAGTTGGTTTTGACGGCCATTTTTCAAGACTCTTGATGATTGCTTAGAAGGTAGCTTACCGCAAAGGTTGAGACGTTGCTTCCTCTTGATGTTCTGTCGCGATGCAATACTGACCATGCACAGGTGGGGTCTACGCGGAGGAGCTGGGTGGGTGCCGACGCCGACATCGGCCTGCTGCCCAAGGGTGACCCGCCGAACCCCAGCACAGGTGCGTTACCCTTGCCGCAGCAATCAATCAACCGATCTCGATCCTGGGCACGCCGTCAGCAAGAGCCGAATCTCATGGAATACCGAATCAACATGCAATCGTGACGTGTCTGTCTGAACCACCGAATACACACGGATGTATATGAACATCCCTCAGGTATCCCCCAAATCAGCGACCCCAACTGGCTGAGCACCCAGTTCAACCCGGCGGATGGAGAGCTGGGGATGCAGGACGACTACGACGCCGGGCTGTTCGATTCCGACGACCTGCTTGCCCGCGTCCAAGCCGACCTCGACGCATTCTTTTGGCAGAGCCACACCATGACCCACCTCGCCCGCGACAACCTTGGCAAGAACGACTGTGACATCGAGGACGGAGGTGGGTGGTTTCTGTCACGTCATGTCACGTCATTTCATGTCATGTCATGTCATGTCATGTCATGCAGTCGGTGGCCGGTGGGGAAGAGTCCTTTTTTGTTGGCACTCCCGTACATGCATGTGGCAGGTCGACGTCGAGGTGACATTCCAGATATAATATTACTTGTCGAAAGCGTTCGGGTTAGGGTTGGGGTTAACGTCATCTGAATTCTGGTTTACCCGCGGCCGGCCGCCAACGCCTTGCCCAGGCAACGTACGGATGGCTATAATGTTCGGCATGTTCGACAACGACAACTACAACTGGCGCAGCATGACGAGTCCGGGTATCACGGGGCTGTTCAACCCCAACTGCCTCCAGTCCGGCGACGAGAACCTCATGAAGTGCTACCCCGGGGACAACACCTACAGCGGACCCCCCCTGACGGACGTGTTCCTGATCAACGAGAACAACCAGTTCCACTCCCTCACCACCACGGTCGGCACGAATGGTGAGAGAATGAGAGAATGAGAACAAAGGAGTCGTTGGGAACCGTGGTGTGGCTGTTGTCTCAACCCTTTCGTCTGGAAGGTGGCACGGACATCGCCGTTTCGTGTCGACGCCGAGATTTTGGGCGCCTTGTTGATGGGGAGTTCGGCTGTCTTACGAAGACACTGCAAGTTCCATCCCATATCTATTGCAAAGCGCACGCCGCGTGTTGACAGTTGGCAGCGTCCGTGTGGTAGCTGGAGGGAGGTATACGTCAGGAAGAAGCTTGTTGAAGACGGGGTTCCGAAGGCAGAAGCGAGACAAATCTCAAGAAACTTCTCGTGTCTGTGTTGCTATTGGCTGTAACCCCTCCCGATAACCGGTCCTCCCGATGTCTTCTATTCCTCGATTTTTTTCAGGTTACGCTGGAATGCAGATCGTCCCTCGCTTTGCGACGAACGTGTACTACAACTGTGTCACGGGCCAGGTAAGGGTAGATCAGGATGTACTTTTGGACCAAGGGAGAGAGGGAACGAAATCAATATTGGTGCCCTTCGCAAAGGCAAGGCGACTAGAGAAGGGCCTCTCTTTGTGGCCGTCTTTCGCTGCGTCACTCACACCCGTAGCACGGCCTGGCTGCACGTATCCCAGCCGACAAGTGCTGGCTGCACCACGAAGGTGATGTGACGCGAAGAATAAACCTAACAACCCTCGTTGCGCCTCTCGCCCCGTGACCATGTTCTTTTTCCTTTCTTGCTGACTGCAGTGCCTCATCGACGAGAACGAGAAGATCCGTCGTGACGTGTGCGGCTGCACCGACCTCAACCCAGCCAACCCTCAGGTACATTGTGCGCGTGAAACCGGTGCTACTTGCGCGCCGACCGGAGGAGACATGGGCCCTGCCACATGCTCATGCTTTGCGTTTGGCCCACCTTGTTTGTACAATAGTCCACAATAGTCTACAATTGCAACCTACTGTAAACCCCTCGTTGCTTCGCTCTGTGTCGTGGATTAGTTGCAGGCGTGCTGCTTGGTCAGCCGCCACGATGCAGTGCCACGGTGCAAGACAACACTGTCTATGCAACGTTGCCGCGTAAATCTGTGTCTTGTGACTAACGAACGCGAGGTGTGCACCAACCCTACCCAAACGCGTCCCTCCCATGTTCAATACAGGGAACCTGCTCCGCTTGCCCCTCAGGCACCCAGAGCTTCAACGATATTGCCTCTTCCGACCCGTCGATCGGACCGCTCGAAGCTCTCTTCCAGACGGAGGAGCGAACTACTACCCGCTACATCCTCACCGGACGCAGGTACAAATACGGGTGGCCGGTCTCGCGAGTCGGCGATGCTGTCGCGAGCCGCCCTCTGGATTCTTGGAACTACGCGCAGAAGCTCGAGTGCAGATCATTTTCTTTTCGTGGAAATTTGTGGGCGCCGAAGCGGGCCACTTGCCGTTGGCAGTGAGGGCACATCGCTTGTTCTTCCAGACTAGGTGCTTTGGCTCTTTCAACGTTGTGCAAGGGCATTCTCCTGAACGCAGTGTAACCTCCCCCCCGTGCGCGCGCTTCTGTGCTTTTGACGGCGACAGAGACAAGTACATGTTCCACCAAGCGAACGTGATCAGCACGACTTGGACCACCGACACGTCGGACCCGATGTACGTCAGCCCCAGGCCCACCAACAACCCTTCTCTCCTCGAGTACTGGTACATCCGCGTCCTTGCTGAGATGGCCAGGTTCATCAACACGGGTTCCTTCCCCATCCAGGTTGGTACTGAACCATTGCTGGCTTTCCTTTTCCAAGTGCTAAGTTTACATTCCGGAGCGAGAGTGCCTGTCTTCGACATCGTGGTGACCCATGCTCCCCAGGGGCAAGAATACCACAAAATAGGGCACCTCCACAAATGATTCGACGAGGGCACAGCGTTTCGTTCCAGCTTCGCCCCCGGCCGCAGCCCTCAAGCCAAAGGGCGTTCCTTCTTTCGGCGACATCCAGTCCCTCTCACTCACCCCGTTCCGACCGTCCCTGTGTTTGCTTTGTATGATGGAGCAGACTCTCAAGTTCGACAACCTGTGCCACAACTTCTACCAGCACGAGGACCTGGACAGCTCGGGTGCCGTTCTTACGGCCACCAAGGACCCTTCCGGTGCCATCACCGGCTTCTCCCTCGAGACTTCTTCCAACAACGGCGCTCCCATCCCGTTGACGGTCCCCACAGCTAGCGCCGCGGAGGTACGCTGTCCGCTTGTTGTTCGTCGCACACCTTTTGATTGGTGGATGAATGTGCTGCAGTTGCTGGTGCTTGGCACGCGAAAGACACGCGAAGGCAGTGTTTGTGCTGAGTGCATGCAAAGCTGTTGGAATAGTTCGTGCTTGAGAGGCGCATGCATCATCATCATCGTCTAAACTCGTCTCCCACACGTTTGTTTTTTCTCTGGCGCCCTCGGGTTCACACGACAGATCGATCTGATCTTGGCCGCGGGCACCCTGTCAGCCTCTGCGACCGAAACCTACGGCGCCGACACCACCTACACCTTCGCAGCAGGCACGCTCAACACCGGCACCCTCTCCAAGCCCGACGTCAGCGAGTGAGTCTATGGCTTGATACCATACCTGACTGGTACAATACCCTACCCTTGTCCGATAGACCTATTAATACCTTTTCCTACGGCAAGAGATGACATTGTCTCTCCGTCTGATGCTTCCCCGTTACGCGTGACCCTAGTGACCCTAGCGCGGTCGAGCGCATACACCACCGTTACCTTCACTCATACGTCGTCAGCGTTGTTTTTTCGATCGGGATATTAAACGTGGCGTGCCCCCGCGGTCTACGGGAAATTGGCTGGTAACTATCGCCACTGACCTCCCGATGTGCCGCCCCCCGCCCTGCGTCCACTCTGTTGGTTCTGTGTGCCACGTCCTTGTCCCTCGTCCTTCTCCTCGTCCTTAGGCTCCCGACCATCCCTCAGGCAACCCTCACTCCGGCTGAACAGGAAGTCGTTGAGGAAGCGGCGGAGGCGGAACTTGAAGAAGAGATCTCATCCATCGTCGATGTTGCGGTAAGGTCCTCGCTTTGGCCCTTGTGGCTGTTCTGAAGGCCTTGTATTTTTCGGGGTTTTGAGTTGGTGTGTATGTTGCTCTACTGCAGCTGCCAAGCCAGTTTTCAACAAAGGTCTAGCTAGGTGTGGGTGTGTTGGAACACCAGAGAACCACAACCCTTACAATTACGCAATCCCTTTGGCATGTACCCTGCAGCATCAGAACCAAATGCAAGGCGAAGGAGATTCTGTAAAATTTGGAGCATCAAAGAAATTGTACTGCAGAACGTTTTTAGTGTTTTCTCTCGTGATGAAAGAAGTGAAATAGTCCATAGAACAATTCGCAGGCTCGTGCCATCTTCGACACCCAACAATGTGTTCTCATCCCCTTGTGCTTTCGTAACGTTTATTGATATCAGGAGGATGCCCGGGAGGACATCGAAGAGGAGGCCGGCAACCAAGGCTTCGTCGTGGAGGACTTGGCCGGAGAAATCCTCGTTGATCCTGTCGAATCGGCTGCCGAAACTCCCTAGAAGCTCAATTCGTGGAAGCAGTGCGCGTGATGCGCCTTACATAGACTACAGTAGGCTAGTCGATCGAAGGGTGGTCTTTGTTTTTATCAACTGCTGTTGTAGCTAATTTTAGCCTTCTTTTGGCGAGAACGGATATGGTGTAGATCCCGCCACGTACATGTACTCTAGTGTGGTTGAAGAAGTGGTGTATGGTAGGTGTGTGGTTGTAGAAGTGGCTCTTGCGTTTGGAACGAGAAACGGTGTACGTTGGTGATGGAGGAGTGCCTGTTGCCCACTACAGTAGTTGGCAGAGGGGCCGGACAACTTCTTCTTTGTTGGTGGACTTACTTCATCACGATGCACGATCAAGGACACCGTGATGGCATCCGCACGTCTACCCAAGTGCACTAGACTATACTACTTATTTCCCGTATTTATCCAATCTGGACATGATTGATCTTGTAGCTCTTCTTCGCGATAGTGTCGTGTGGTATTATTTCATGCTGTTCGTGTAGTATACTGTAGTCGAGGCTGATAGGAGTTAGCAGGTCATAAATTGTCGTGATTCCGTCGTCAAATCGACAACTACAACTCCCTAGAATCATCTCTTGTGTGCAAGCAGTGTTCGCGATGTTTCATTTCTGTATTCGCGGTGTTACTCAATTTCATGTAGGGTAGTGCGTTCCGAGAAGGGCGCGCTCTATGTGACAATGTAGTCTACAGTAGTAGCTTTCTGTGGCGAGGACGGATGTAAGTTCCACCACTCTCTCTTTGTATGTATGACTGCATGTCTAGAATCTTCGACGCTGCGCACTCGATCGTAGAAGCGACTCTCCTCGTGTTCGGAATGAGAAAGAGAAAGAGAGCGGTTATCTCTTGGTGAAGGAGAGGTGCCCGTTGGTCGTCAGCATATAAATAGTCGTCAGGCGATCGCAATATGGCCAGTTGGGTCAATGTTGTTCGTTCCCGGATGTAGGAAGGGCAGGACCACCTCGCGTTTTCAGTGTAGACTATTCTCTGCTCTTTTCGCCACGCTGCACTGCAAGGACACGTGCTCAGCGTCCACGTTCCTACCCCTGCGTGTTCGCAGCGTAGAGAGAGGCGATGTGCCAAGGAGGTGTCGGCCATGTGCCGTGGTATCCCACGAAACACGCCACAGGCCGGAATGTGGTAAAGAGCACGAGATCACGTCCGGCAGTGTTTTTTGGGCCTTGGAGTGGTTGAAATGGTTGTGACCACGACTCCACGAGGGTAATGAAACGCCAGGGTCTGAATGTTACTGTTTGATTTCCGACTGGTAGAAAACATCTAACCCTACTGTGCAGAGCCGCATCCATGCCATCACGTATAAGTAGCTAGCGAAACGAAAGATAATCAATTTCGAGTCAGGCCCACCGTGTACATACATCTGACGGTTGATGGCTTTGCTGCTTCTCCGACCATGTATATGCATGCGTTCAGCATAACGTGTGAGTTGCCACAGATACATGCGCACCACGTTTTCGGAATCAGTGCTACTATTGTTGTGCCGGTGGGATGCGGGTGGGGGATGGATGGGCGGTTGCGCGAAAATGAAACCTCCGAAAAACGAATCAATGAATATAGATGGATGGGTACATAGATGAGCAGGCCTGCCGTCTCCCCGCGTGTGAGAGAGCACTGTAGTCTCCTTGCTGTGCCAAAAATACAACTCGTCATCGATCATCGGTGTAATCATACATCGAATCATGGGGGCCGCCTGACAAGAGGAGACGACGCGATACAATTTTTTCGACACAACCACCACCTATTAATAGCGCTGAATGGTGCATTTTTTCGTCATCCATTCTGTAGGGCGAATAATATGTATCTAGAGAACATTTCATCCTGGGAGAGAGATCGCCATGCAGTCGGTGCACTTGTTCCTGCCTGAAACTGGCGGACGAGGATGATGCCTTCATCCTGGAATGTATGGATCCCCAACGCACATTAGTGCGCACTGGCAAAAACCGCCCGCGTCCCCCCCAGACAGTTCGACCGACGCGAGTCAAATTGCAAGACCACAGGTCACGGGGCACAACATATATACTGCAAGCCAACAGCACAGCAGCATATATACAATACGTTGTTGATTGTTGACACTTCGTAACATAGTTCAACCGAGAAAAAGAATCTCGATCGCGTCCCCATGCGAACAGCGGCGGGGTCTTGTCTCAGCAGTACGAAAATATCTTGCACGGACCAATGGGGATACATCGATTCTTGTGCATCCACAGGTTGACAAAATAATAAATTAATTTGACACACCATTTTAAGCAACGCTTCGGGCCTCCCGCCCTCCCTCCAGCACCGGCCTACTGCCACCCGATCTACCGACCCAACGCTTTAGGCTCACCTGTTGACACACAGTAACAGATGGCATCACAACTACGATGCGATAACAAGACGGGACGAGAACTGTAACAATCTCTTCTTGTACCCGGAGGTCTTTTCTTGCTTTCTTGTGTGGAAATCAGAAACGAAAGGGATTCATGTTCATAATCTCAAAAACGATCAGCCCTCCAATGTTCTATTTGCCAGACTCCAAATTAGCAGTGTCTGAATCTATTTAAGACCGCCTTACTGGTCGAAGCTCTTCGAATGCCGCAGGACATGGAATCTGCCATGGGCCATGGGCACTGGAGAGAGACGAGACGAGAGAAAGCAGGGCTGCCAAAGCCCAGACACGGCGGGCATCCTCCCTCCCACCCAATCTCGATTCTAAAAGCGTAAATCGACACGGCTCTCCAGCCTTGCTATGAAGATACTTCCTCGGTACCTGGAACCAGCTACCCCACCCCATAGACTAGTTGGATTACACCCAAAGCGTATCGTACTTCTTCAAATCGTGCGGGTGGGACAAATAAGCAACAGGAGAAGAGAAACACCTATTCCTGGCCTCCCATCGTCACAACCCTAAATATGTCTTCCCAATAAGACTAAACAGCTAGCCCGCCTAACCCTAGCCTAAACCACAAACCAGACAGACAGACAGACAGCGAAAGATCCACCAACTATCGCCTCCTAGCTCTAACAACAAAGAAAGCCAACAGTTAGAAATCCTCCAAACGCCGGACCCTAACCCTAAGTTGCAAGGCCTGGCGGCTGCGGCGAGGTCTACTAACATTGTCGCCTGTTGCGGCGCGTTTACATCTTAAAGAAGGGGAGAGCGGTGATGGAGCACATGGACAAGAACGCCATTAGCTGGAACACCTGCTCCCAGGTCCAGTCCATCGCCATGAGGCTCTGCAACGAAAGGAACCAACCAAGGAAGGCGCTTTGAAGTCAAACGGTCGGCCAAAAAGACCCTCGGGATGCAAGGATTGGACAGGAATGGCGACACCGAAAAGGACAAGTCCTGGAGTGCTGTGGGGCAGAATCCAACGTGTTTGGTTACATGTAAACATGTAGGGTTTGAGCGGGAGGACGTACACAAAAGGACGGTATGGTGTCGTGTGTTGATGGTTCACGAACACCGCTCTGTTCAAAAATAAAGGGGCCATTCAAGCGGGTCGCCCCGGAAGTCGAGTTGGTACATCTATTCTCGAAAACCTTCTGGTGGTCAGGGTCAGGGTCAGGGTCAGGGTCAGGGTCAGGGGTTCGAACCCCGATGTAAGCGAGCTGTTCTTGCAAAGCGAATTTTTCTCTCGCTTCCGTTCCTGGCCTGGGTGGAAAGCGCTAGTTCGTGTACACACCGAGGGAAGAGAGTGCTGCACTCTTCTCGCAAAAATAATCGGAGCCAAAGTACCACAGGAGGGGTTGGGTAGGGGACCTGACGGAGAGAAACCCTTCTGTGTGACTGACCACGGGTTGGAGAAAACGGCACAACAAGTGCTGTGAGCGCTGACTTGAAGTGAAGACAAAAAAGGAAACGGATACAAGCGCGAATACCACAATGATCCCTATATTTTCAAACAGAGAGAAAATTCAAAACCGGTCATTTTCTCACCTTGGTGAGGAAGGTACCCGAAATGCTAGCAACAGCGAAGGCCGTAAACAAGACGCCGTAAACCTTGGCCCCGATCGCTCCCCCGAACACCTGTGTCGACAACAAGAGGGGGGAGGCAGCGATGGCGTATTTTACAAGACAAGCTCTTGCTGGCAGCATGAAAGGCCGACACAGTATGTTGTTCTCGGGCGGTCGAAACCAAGATAGATACTGTAGGTAGATACAGAGATACATGTAGGAGGGGAACTACGTCTTTTGCTTTGCGCAGAAGACAACGGGGAGATCGGCAGGCACAGCTTCTATAGGTACGGCATGCGCACCAGTAATAATAACAATAAAATAACATGCATTCAAAAAAAACTCAAAAACATCTTCCGACTGAGCGCGATGAATGCACCGAGTACTGCACTGACTGTTTTCATCGGTCGCGTCTGTCTGTCTGTCTGTCTGACCTTGGAGCAAAGAGCGGGGAACATGGCGAAGTTGCCTCCGAGGCAGAAGAGCAGGGTGCCCGTGCCCACGAGGTATCCCGCCTTAGACTGGGACAGCACCGTGTAGAATGCCGTTGCGCTGCCCTGGTTATCACGTGGTATTCGAGACGTACACATCGGGGGCGATAGAGGGAAACGGAAACGGTTAAAGGCGTGCATTTCGATAAATAACAACTTGGGACAACTGAGGGGTAGGATTTCCGAAGGCATTGCCCTCGAAGCTACGCACACTACTACACACTACTTACCCCGCAGCGGATCTCTCGCTAAAGCAGACCGAGGGTTCACGACAAGACGCACCAACAATGGTGAAGCGGCCACACGAGTCAGAGAGAGACATTAACAGGGGTGATAACAATCAAAAACGAAGTCAAACTGTTCAGGAAAAGCAAGGGGACACAATAGAATTTGCTAGTTAATTCCAAGTGTGGTGTTGGGGAGGACGCATGCTGCAACCCGACGATCGATTATCGTATCGAACTCCAGCGCCCGTAACAAGGGGAACACTATTACGCATGTACCCAACCGAACGAATTTGCCATCTGATAGCGGTGCACATCAACACCAACAAGGGATGGGACAGGAGACAAGGACAGCAACAACAATGACACCCACCTGAAGCACCGCGAGAGCGGCGAACAATGACTTGAACTGCACAACGTCGAGCAAGTTGCCCCAAAACAGTCGCCCTGCTGCGTTGCACAGCGCCGCCACCGATCCAACCAAGGACTGGAATTGGTCCGACTATTGTGTGTTGAACGGATACGACCGCGGGAGACGGGGGGCGGTGGGGGGGGGGTCAACGTTCGTTCTTTATCGGGGGAAAGTAATTGTAATTGTAGTCTGGCACAGAGCGGGCCAGCTTCCATCTTGACACGGTGTTCATTCATCATGCCAATCAGGAGCCCTACATTTCGTCATCTGATGGGCAAGGAACACTGAATGTTGAACGTTGTCGTCGCACGTGAATTAGTACAAGCACGTGGTATTGTGTTGGATCTGTGTGCCTCGTTCTCCAGGTCAACAACGCAAAGCTCGCCGTCAAACAACAAAGAACGAGCAAAGGCGAACCAAAAAAAAGCTTGCATTATGCACCGCAACTCGTTATCCCTCGGGGGAGCCAACATCATCCGCAGCATCTTCTTATTTTCGCGTCGAGGTGAGAGTTTCAGACTACCAATATTTCTTTTACCCGTCCCCGTTGTGCAGAAAATCGGGCAGAAAGCGTCGCGCCTGCTCCGCCTCAAGGGCAGCTCAACTGGACAGCCTAGCGGAAGGATACCGTCGCCCCGCACAGACAACACACCCGTGGCTTGCCCCAAAACACACACCACACCAATAATTGTCAGAAAAAAAAAAGCTGAACCTGGTGCTGCCTGCCTGCCTCCATCCAAACTATGCCGGTGCAAGACACAGGCAAATACAACAGCACCTTGAGGATGTCGACACTCCCACCGTACTGCTTGTAGCAGTTGGCGACGTTGATACCGCTAGTGCCGATCATGAGCGCCTGCGCGGGCAGAGGGATAAAACGGGTGCGCGCCAAGCATCAGCAACGGGACGGACAAAAAAGGGTGCCCACGCAGCAAGACAATCTACCTGCGTACCGAAAACCCTAATGAAGTGCCAAGCATCTTCAAGCGAAGATTTATATAGAACTTCTGTGCGGGGATGGCCTGACCTTGTCTGTAGAACAGATTCATCCTTTCTCGATGGGGGGGGGGGGGTGTACTCATAGTCGTGCATGCCGTAGTCGTTAGACCATTGACCTCGCATCCCTACAAAGCCGGGACGGAGCACGCCGGGTTCTCACCGGACCAGGCTCTCACATCACCAAGCGCGAAGCACCGTGAGGTATTCGGCGAGTCGCATGAAGGATGAGCTGCATCCTGCTAAGGGTGTTCGGCATCTTGTGCTTACTTCCTTGCGTACGGATGACAGCTGCGCATGACTTAATTTATTTTCTGGTGCGTTCACTTCCAGAGACAGTTACAAGCACTGTGTAGCTGCCTCGAGGATGCTTGACCATTTTAACACAATGTGGTGCGATCATCCCCCTTGCCCGGAGTGAGGTTTCTCCACCCCGCACAACATGATCTACTCGACCACCATTATGGTTACCGCCAAAAAAAAAAACGAGGTAAAAAACAAAAAACGGTAACCTGGTTGCCAAGTTCACGAAGTGAATTGGCTTGTTTTACAACGTCGTTGCCAAGCGACGAAAACCCAATCCCGATGGCAAACACCGTCGTGCATGCCGTAGTCGTCAGACCATTGACCTCGCATCCCTACAAAGCCGGAACGGAGCACGCCGGGTTCTCACCGGACCAGGCTCTCACATCACCAAGCGCGAAGCGCCGTGAGGCATTCGGCGAGTCGCATGAAGGATGAGCTGCATCCTGCTAAGGGTGTTCGGCATCTTGTGCTTACTTCCTTGCGTACGGATGACAGCTGCGTATGACTTAATTTATTTTCTGGTGCGTTCACTTCCAGAGACAGTTGTAAGCACTGTGTAACTGCCTCGAGGATGCTTGACCATTTTAACATAACGTGGTGCGATCATCCCCCTTGCGCGGAGTGAGGTTTCTCCACCCCGCACAACATGATCTACTCGACCACCATTATGGTTACCGCCAAAAAAAAGCCAGAGGAAAAAAAAAACCGGTAACCTGGTTGCCGAGTTCACGAAGTGAACTGGCTTGTTTTGCAACGTCGTTGCCAAGCGACGAAAACCCAATCCCGATGGCAAACACCGAGGGGGGGGCTTGTTTTACAACGTCGTTGCCAAGCGACGAAAACCCAATCCCGATGGCAAACACCGAGGGGGGGGCTTGTTTTACAACGTCGTTGCCAAGCGACGAAAACCCAACACCGGGAGGGGCGGCATGTTTACAACGTCGTTGCCAAGCGACGAAAACCCAACCCCGACGGCAAACACCGGGTGGGGGGCAGGGGGCAGGGGGGGGGGGGGGGGGCACCCTTTATTTTTTGCCCCCCTTACGGGTAAAACCTTTGCCCCCCCCCCCCCAAAAAAACG